TCCTCAATAATTTTACAAGTTTCTTCGCTGACCCTCCGATTTTCCCTATCAGGTAAGATAATCACAATCTAAAATTTTTACTTATTTTCATTTTCGACTTTATACATCTCCATTTTCTCCCGATTCATCTCCGAAATTTCTTCATTTTGTTCTCACGGAAACAATGTTCATGCGTGTATACAAGTAGAAACATGAATTTCTATGCATGCTAGGGTTTTGTCGATCAAATCGAATTACGGGAGTGAGCTAATGACCTAGCGAGAGCTATAGACTGTAGTGGAACTTTAAAGTTTTACTTCCGCCTTTAAGTGATTCCAAGTTTTCAGACGTCACAAAAGTTTGTCGGTTATGGTTGGTAACAAGCGTTCGGTTCTTGGACATTTGGTTTGAAGAGTATCGTTGAACTGTAAATTTTATAGGTGGCTATTCCGAGTTATGTTAGCTTTATGAAACCTTATTTATGTGGTAGGCATGTGTTCTAAAGAAACCTTGAAAGTGAACAGGAGTTTTATTTGAAGAGAACTTACATTATAATTTGCTCAAAACAGAACAGCATGGGAAAGAAAGAAAAAAAAAAAAAAAAAAACTTCCAGTGTTGTTGAAAATGATGAAGTCTAAAATCTTATTTACCCATGGGTGAGATTCTTAGTTTCCTCAGACATCATGAAGTTTGTGGGTTTATGGTTAGCAACAACCTTTTGATTCTTGGACATTAGGTTTGAACATTGCCATCAAATTAATTTTGTACGTTAATATTCCATGTTAATTTTGTTGACGTGGTAGGCACGTGCTCTGAAGAAACCTTGAAAATGAACAGGAGTTTATTTGCACAGAACTTCTATTATAATTTGTTCAAAACAGAATAGCGTGGAAAAGAAAGAAAGAAAGAAAGAAACCTTTTTGTAATGTTGAAAATGATCAGGTTTAAAAGGCAAAAAAGGATATATTGGTTCTTAAAATTTGTTGACTAAGGATACTGCTAGAGAGATTACATCCGAAAAGTGAATGAAGTGTTATAGTGACACTAACAATTTTGTTCGTTCGTTTGTTTTTTTTTTTTTTTTTTGGTTGTTTTCGCCTTTACTTAGACATCATTTACTGATCATTTGAATGCTGAACAAGGAATTGTTTTGGCAGAGTATATGTGAATTTTGAACAAAATATGGTTTCTGAAACCCTTGAAGTGAGTGGTGTGACAAATGGAGAGGCTGAAAACAATCTTCAGAAACAGAGTCATGAAATCTCATGCCAAGGATTTAAAAGAAGACGGGGAAAGTTGATGTCCAATGAAACCAGGGCCACTCATTCGTGTAATGGAAATTCTAGTGAAGAATGTAGACCAGGAATATCTAGCAGGGATATGAGTGATCATGAGGAACCTAACGAGCAGCATGATTTTTTTCCTGTAAGCTTAACACTTTGATGAGTTACCAAACTCAAGATTGCAATTTATGAAATCTGAAATTGCATTTATTCTGTTTCCTCTTTGCAGAAAAAGGCAAGGATTTCAAGAGAAATTATTTTTCAAGATTCCAACCATGATGAAGACCCCTTTTACGATGATGATGATGACGATGACAATGACAGTGACTGGGAGCCTGTTCAGAAGCATGTGGAAATTGCAAAGTGGTTTTGCACCAATTGTACAATGCTCAACCTTGATGATGTTGTACATTGTGATGTATGTTTATATAATTTTGTGATGCTGTCTGACTTCAAATAACTAACCCGTTACTTTTTCCTTTGGTTTTTTCCTATTGTATGCTTTCTAACATAATTCTGGGCTTGCAGTCATGTCTATTTAAAACAATTTCTTTACACTCTCGATGATTTTCTGGATTTGTATTCATGCAGATTTGTGGGGAACATAAAGAATCTGGTATCCTGAGGCATGGATATTTTGCATCACCATTTTTACAAGATGCACAACTTAGTCAGGTTGAATTGGAACTTGACGGGAAATACAAAGGTGATTAAATCTGATTAGCGGGTGTTTTTGTTGGGCATGATTGCCCTTGGCTTACAAAACCTTCTGTTAGAATATATTTTGTGTAAGGTTCTTCGTTTCATTGCCAAACCTGAATACCTTGTGTTGGTTCTCTCTCTCTCTCTCTCTCTCTCTCTCTCTTCTAATTTCCCTTTTCTTTTCGCAGGGTGATAATAACTGATGAAACCAAAATTTCATCAAGTTTATTACTGTTAGGTTAAAAATGGATGTAGAATCAAAGTTGAAACCTATTAGGATTTACCATTATGTATTTTTTCCAATAAAATAATGCTGTAATGGAGAGATTACAAAATTGTAAAATAGTTGCTGTAGTATCACTGTCAAGCAACCTTTACGTAACTTTAGCAAATCAATTATCCTTGGACAATGATCACAGTCATACTTAGGAATTCTCTCTTTGTTATTTTTCTCCTTTTCCTGAAAGATCACTCTTACCATCAACTGCATCCTTGCTAGTACTCAAACTATTACTCTTTCCATTGTGTGTTAAGTTTAAATGAAATTTAGCATGATATTTGGAGTGCTTTCTTGAAACTCATGGCGTCTAGGCTTCCACCAGTAAACTACAATCCTTGAAGGATATCAAAGAATTCTAGACTATGAAATGATTTGGGTTGGGTTATTGTTAGCACTCTGAAGGATGAGATGTGAGCATGGAAGCATTCAAGGGGATAACCAATCCTTAAGTCTTATCCCTTTGCCTACCTTTTGGGCAAATTGGAAGGAGAGAAATGGGAGGGCTTTTGAAGGGATTGAATTTTCTTTTAATAGATTTATTGGTTCCAGGCTCTAAATCTTTTGTTAAAGAGTCAACCAGTGTATTCTAGTGAGGATCCTAGGGAGCTTATAGATAATTTACTAAAAATGTAAACATTTTTGTATATGGGTTGCACCACATTGGTCCTATATTAATAAACTTTTTTCTTCTTTAAGAAAAAGAATATGAAATGATTTGGGTAACATTTTCAATTAAATAGCTGAGGTCCCAAATTCTTTTCAATCGTTGAAAAGAAACAGTATTTTACTGTAATTATTTAGTAATTTAATTTTAATACCTAAAATTTGCAATATGTTTTAGAGGCTCCTCTGACCACTGGAATTTTGGTCTCCAGCTTTGGTTTGTATGGTCCGTTGTACCCCTAGACCATACATTGACAATGCAGTTCCAACATTTTGAATGAAGTGTTGGTGGTGGTAACATTTTTTGCTTTGTCATGTGTTGTGTGGTGATGGTAAAGCGCATTCTCCATGGTACCTGCAGAAGCAGTTTGCCTCTTATCTTCATTTGTATTATGTTCCTTACAATTTTCTTTTTCGCTATGTAGAATTTCACTCAGGAAATTCAGCTTCAGGCTGTTCCACTGCAATAGGTTTTGATGAGAGAATGTTACTACACTCAGAAGTATGTCTTTTCTTCATAGTTTCTTAGAATTTTTGCTTCTGAGTTGGGGTTTTTCTACCCATGTTTTCGGAAATTTATTTATTTGTAGTTCTACTGTTGCACATGGAATGGTTTTCTGTGGACACTAAGTGTTTCTAAGTAATAGTAAGTTATTGTGACCAAAGGCTTGTCAACATGCTATGGAAATTTACATTTGAATCCTTTACTTTTTTGGTCAGCCAATTTGTTATCCATTAGTTGATTACTGGTAGACAGTAAATATTACCACTTTTGTCAATGCAAATTAGATGCATCAGGCTTCATGATTCATGGGTTATCCATGATGTAGAATTGATGAAATAGCCATACAAAAAGGCATACAGGATTATTCTGATTATCTGACTTACATTTTTGGTTATCATTAACATCTGAGAAATAGTTTAATTGAGTGACTGTGGTAAAAGCTTTACTTTATAGGGCATGGTTAGGGCTCTATATTATATATTTTTGAGGTGCCGATCAATAAGCTGGATATGTCCTGAGCATGTAAACACAATCCCGTGAAGAAGGTCCATTGTAATTATGGACACAAATTAATGGTTGAATAATAGAGGGTGAGGCTCTCAAGGACCAAGACATTGATCACCGTACAATTTGAAATAATTAACTGATTATTCTAAAAGGGCCAACCCACATTTGGATAAGAAAAGCCATCAAATCCACAAACTCAACAACCTCTCAATCAATTGAGGTTCTAGAGAGCTGAATATTCCAAGCAACGGGGTTTGCAGAGTCAAATTCCACTCAGTCATAAACTTTCACTTGTTTCTCAAAAAACCACAAGCTGAAGTGAGTCCTCAAAAATCTATCTGCCCACCACCAAACTTTCCTGAAAGCTTAAGCTTATAAGAAATAACTGAACTTTACTCTTTTTGTAATTCTAAAAGCATATGCCACGTCACCATTTTGCATATAATTTTAGTAATTCCATACTAATTCTGTAGGTATGCTCATGATATAGCGTGGATGTTGGCATGCTCTCAATTCTTTTTCAATCAGATTCTAAAATTTATTGATTGTAACAGCCAAAGCAATAGTTCTGTTATAAAACTCTGTAGCTTCTTTAATATGCAGCACATTCACAATTTGATTTTTGATTTGCTGTAAATGTTTTTCAAATTTCAGCTTGTATTGTTTCTATCTGTCTTGTTTTGTAATGTTATTTTGGAGAGGGCTTGTAGGAATTGCTGTCTAGGACTCAAATAATACTGATGTTTGCATGCTGGAGCAGGTTGAAATGAAGTCACGACCACATCCAGAAAGACCTGATCGCCTTCGAGTTATTGCTGCTAGCCTTGCTACTGCTGGTATTTATCCTTTGCCCATTGAATAATGCACTTTATTTTTTGATAGACTACTTATGCATTTGGCATTATGGAATCTTGGCAGGTATATTTCCAGGAAGATGCTATCCTGTTTCTGCTAGGGAAATCACACAAGAAGAGCTTAGGATGGTGCATGACTACTCTTTAATATTTAAGACTGCTATTATGCTGTAGCAATGTTATCTCTCGCACTTTTTAAGAGATTAATTATTGACTTGTGTCTCCCAGAGCCTTTTTATGCTTCAAAATATTTTGATCAAAAAGTTATTTTGTAGTTAATAAGAAAATTTAAATAGTCATTTTCAGGTTCATTCAAAAAGTCATTTTTCCAAAATTTTCAGGTTCATTCTGTAGAGCATGTTGAAGCTGTAGAAATCACAGGTCAACTTCATTCTAGGTATAAATCTACCCTTCTCTATACTATGAGGATTTTGACAGACTTAGAGATAGATGGTTTCTGACTTTTGGTCTTCTGATTATGGGTCATCCTCTCTATTCTATGGAGGATTTTGTGAATCTTGTTGACATTTTGTTAGAAGTTTAAATATTTTGTATACAGGTTGGCACCCCCCTTGGTGCATATCAATATATTATACTTTTTATTTATAAAAAAAATCTACCCCTCTCT